ATGTATATGTATTATAAAAAATTATAAAAATGGTGAATTCTCTCCTTTTGATTTTTGTAGAAATACCCTGTATACTTATTTTGGCCTAATTTTGAGTAACACGACAATCCACTGACTGACTGACAAAAACTACGTAAAAATCCTATGGGAAACCCTGATTTAGTATATAGAAATTTTAATGTCAACGACAAAAAGGAGAGGGGAGTTACATAGAGGGAACTTATGCAATTACAATGATACAATCACATAAATATGATTGGTATGGAAATGACACTTAATGACATCATATATAGTGAATACAATATCAACATGTTCAACTTTGAACCAAACATCACAAATGACAATAAAGAAAGTAGCACACACAACCTAGATACATAACATAAAAACAACAAAATTAGAATTTTGATATTACATGTAGCTGAGTCATAGTCATTGTACAGACATGATTGACCATAAAAGCCTATGAACCCGGCCAGGTCAAAAAATCTTACAAGCTAATGGTAAAAATTTAGCAGTCCATTTAATATTTAGTAGAACTACCTTTGATGAAACTGAAATGGGAACAGACCACAAGCACAATTAAGAGGAAAAATCTCTCAGGAGAACGAAAACTAGTGGTGGAGCAGCAACCTCTGTAGATCGAGCTGTAGAGCATCATCATCATGAATTCATTTGCGACAAACCACACCTTTCATAATTGGGAGTAGTGGTCAACAGTAATCCGCGCGCGCGCGCGCGTCACGAATTAATGTTATAAATGTTACTCCAGAGGGTCAAAATCTAAAACTTATAGCTTAACTTAAGCTCTCTCTTTTCTATAACCACTTAATGACGATGACCCAGTACACCAACACTACTGACCCTAAAGTGTGAACATACACACGAAACCATAATTATGAATATCATAGGACAATAGGATACATTTATCACTTGTTATTATTATTATGTTTTTTCCCCAATATAAAACAACCATTACTTAATTCATTATTAATTCACAATTATAGACTATTGAAATAAAAGAATGCCAGTAGACTCATCAGTACCAGGGTTTGTTCCTCCATATCCTTGTGGCTCCTGCTGTGGATACCCAACTGGTGCTTCTTGCTGCTGCTGCTGTGGATAAGGTACTTGCTGGGGATAACCAGTTTGAGAATAATCCTGTTGAGGATATCCTTGTACAGCAAAACCCTGCTGCTGTAGAGGAGGTGAAGGATAACCATAGCCTTGTGAAGGGGCAGCACAACCAGGATAAGCCATCGGTGCAGTCTGTTGTGGCTTTCTGCTGTTCCATATAATCTGAGTAAGATGGAAGTGGAGGTCAATTATCTGACTCGGATTGTGTGTAAGCTCCAGTTGTAGTACTAGTTTTGTGCTGGAATTGATGTCATTTGAACTGCAGGAGCGTCTTGCCTGGTTCTGGAGGAGTTTGATTTGGAATGTAATGGAATTATACATGCAATAATCACTGCAGTTAGGCAAACAAGACCACCAACTATTCCTATAAAAATTAATTCTGCTGGTACACCTGGCTCTGATACACCAGGAGAGCCTGCAAATGAAATATTATGTTAATTTCTGTGTGCAATGATTATGGTTTATATAATCTATTGTAAGAAGTCAAAAATCTTATCATGTAGTATTTTTATGTAGATTATTACTGTGCACCTAAACAACTGACTCCAGCATCCTGATCGTGAGTACAATTATGATTAGTCGTATGATAGCAGCTAGTAAGGGTTGATTCAGACCCAGTACAACCAACATTATTCATTAACATGCTTCCTGTTCTTTGTTCAAAATATGCTCCAAAATATGGGGGCCCTAATTATAATACCACAAATTATTGAATATTCCTTTAAGTAACTATGCATGTATATAGACTTGAAGTCAAGTATTTGCTATTATATAAACACAAAGGCTTAAACTTGCTTCCTTCAATCAAAATTAAGCAACTCCAAATGATTACAGTTAGTTTTTGAACATTAAGATTATTTATATACCTGTAACATAATATCCCAACTGTCTACATACAACTGTAGCATCATTAGTATCCCAGTAATCATCACAGACAGTACCCCATGATCTACTACTGCATACTTCAACACGTCCTTCAAAACTGCTAGATCCTCCAACAAGACGAACTGATCCATCAAAGCAAGCTGAAAAACAGATAAAAGTATTGGACTCCTAGTATAATCCTTACCATATGAGCATTTAAATCCAGCATCCTCAGAGTGACCACAATTATGATTAGTTGTATGAGAGCAGTTAATAAGGTATGATTCAGACCCAGTACAAATAACATTATCCATTACTATGCTTCCTGTTCCTTGTCCAAAATATGCAAAACTAAATGCAGTCCCTACAACAGTTAATATTTAGTAGTTTTAATAAAATGTGAAACTATAAAATTAATACCTTACCAAATTCATAGCCTAACTGTCTACATACAACAGTGGCATCCCTATAGTCCAAGTAATCATCACAGACAGTACCCCATGATCCACTACTGCATACTTCAACACGTCCTTCTAAACTGTTAGATCCTCCAACAAGACGAACTGATTCATCAATGCAAGCTGTAATGAAATAAAAAATTCAAGTACATGTACATGTACATCATAACTGAATCAACAGCTACTACTATAGTATAATCCTTACTATGTGAGCATCTAACTCCAACATCCTCAGAGTGACCACAATTATGATTAACTGTATGAGAGCAGTTGGTAAGAAATAATTCATATCCAGTACAACCAATATCATCCATGCATATGCTTCCTGTTCCTTGTCTAAAATATGAATTACTAAATGCAGTCCCTAAAAAGTGATATAATAGAAGGATTGAAAGGTTTTGTAATATAGTACCTGATCCATATCCTAACTGTCTACATACAACAGTAGCATCCCTATAGTCCCATAAATCATCACAGACAGTACCCCATGATCCACTATGGTATACTTCAACACGTCCTTCAGAACTGTTGGATCCTCCAACAAGATGAATTGCTCCATCAATACAATGTGCTCCTGCAATAAATAAGAAAGAATAACAATAAGTGTGCATGCAGCATTAGCAATTATAAATTTATTAATGCATACCAGGACAAACCACTCCAACATCTTCACTATGAGTACAATTGTGTGACAGAGGAGATCTATGACTGCATTGCTGGTATAAAGATGTTTCATCACCATCACAATTGACATCATCTAATACTATACTACCAGTCCCTTGTCCAAAGAAGGCTTGATCACGATAATAAGCACCTAAAAGTAGAAAATGAAAAATATACTTTTTAATTAGTCATATCATCTATAGAATGTGATGCTTTGAAGGATCATTTGATTGTCATTTGTTTGATACATGTTAGTAAACTCTCATTAAATTGGCTGGAAGCATTGACAGGAGTTAAAAATTTGGAATCAGCAGAGCACTCACAAGTATGCTCAGAATGAAGCAAAAGACATATTTAGTGAGCAACTACTGATCCACCAATATTAACTATACTACTGCCAATATTTCCAGCTATATGGTATTTTAAAATCTAAGCACAATAAGCCACTAATGATCCACTTTAATGTCACTAAGTACTTCAAATACAAATGCATTCAAAAATGTCCACCCAGCTAATGAAAGTAACATTTATTTACATTGATATTTTGACCTTTGATTATAGCGTATTGTTATTAAAATTTATATTATAGCTCCCAGCTTACCGGTAATAGGGTATCCAAGCTGTCTGCATGCAACTTGAGCATTAGCATTATACCAGCCATCATCACAGACTGTTCCCCAGCTATTAGCATAGCATATCTCAAGGCGGCCTTCATGATATGAAATGCTATTGACAAGACGAAGTGAGCCCTGACTACATTGACCTACCAATTATAGTAAGATCATTAATATGGAATTGGTTAACAGTAATTTTGAGGCATAACAATTCAAGGTGTAGATGCATGTTATTGTTGTCAATGATGAAAAAGGTACATATGTACTTCTGTAATTTCACACTTGCCACATTCATGAATGCAATATGACCTCACTCATGATTGATATAGGATAATGGGAAATGACATTACATATGTAGATACACAGCAAAAACATCACATGACAATAAACTAAAGGTAACGCACACACATGTACCTTTAAGTACTACAAGGGCTTTTATCTATTGATAGAATGACCATAAAATGTACAAACATCAATTGGAGGGTTTCCCAGCCACAATACATTATAACTGAGTGAGCTAAACAGCATGCTTGATGAGTTGACAAGCACCACAATACAGTGCTTGGCTTTTAAAGCAACTTTAAAATTTGTAAAAAAATCCAAATTTTGATCAAAATCTGCTCAAACTTTCTAAAAACATAAAACATGTACACGCATCAGAAAAAAATTATTAAAATGCTGACTTATCTCCTAGCCATTTTTGGCAAAATTTGGCGCACAATAGTTAAAGGACTTTGGCCTGAGAGCTTTGAAAAATGGAATTTTGATCGAAATTGGCTCAAAATTTCTATGCAACTTAAGTACATGCCTTTGCTTTTATGTATCAGAAAAAATTACAAAAAAAAGAAGAATCTTCTATTTGTCATTTTTGACAAAATTTGGGAGACACAATTTTTAACAACTTTAAAAAGTTGTAAAAAATTCAAATTTGATCCAACTTCCTACCGGCGCAGCAGAAGAAAAGATATAAAAATGATTTCTCCTTTCAATTTTGACAACATTTGGCTCGAGACCAAGTATACTACAGTACAATCATAAGCTTGAAGTTGAACCACAGTAAAGTGTTTATGCTTGAACTGAAGACCTGCAGCATATACATATATATATACTCAGTGGCAATAGTCTAGAACCATGCACTGACTCAAAGATTAGAGTACCACTTTACCTTTAATATGAATGAAATTCAAACAGACCAAAAGTAAGACTAAAAGGAAATGTTTCTTAGCAGTAGAGTGCAGCAACATAATCTGGCTTGCCAATTGATGGCTTACTTTGCCAAACCACACCTTAATACTGAATGTCACAATCCTCTGTCTGTTGGAGTGTCATCACCACCAATCGGTATGATCTAAATCTCAAATGGATTTTTACTGTGAAAGTATATCGATTTATATTTAATACAAAACTGATAATTATACTGAATATAAGGACACACTATTCTACTGACAAATATAAAATGTGAAATGAAACACATCAATGAGCTCAATAAGGAGGTGGTGGTTCATCACGAATGCCAGTAGACTCATCAGTACCAGGGTTTGTTCCTCCATATCCTTGTGGTTCCTGCTGTGGATACCCAACTGGTGCTTCTTGCTGCTGCTGTGGATAAGGTGCTTGCTGGGGATAACCAGTTTGAGAATAATCCTGTTGAGGATATCCTTGTACAGCAAAACCCTGCTGCTGTGGAGGAGGTGCAGGATAACCTTGAGCAGGATAACCTTGAGCTGGATAACCATAGCCTTGTGTAGGATAACCCTGGACAGGATAACCATATCCTTGTGTAGGGTAGCCTGCTGGTGCAGCATAACCAGGATAAGCTATTGGTGCAGTCGGTCGTGTCTGCTGTTTCATATAATCTGAGTAAGATGGAGGAGGAGGTTGATTTTCTGCCTTAGGCTGGGATTGTGTATAAGCTCCAGTTGTAGTACTAGTAGTTTGTGCTGGAAGTGATGTCATTTGAACTGCAGGAGCTGCTTGCCTGGCTCTAGCTCTGGAGCGGTTTGATTTGGAATGTAATACAACTACACATATAACAATCACTGCAGCTACAAAGATTAGGAAAACAATACCACCGACTACTCCTCCAATGATAGCTCCTACTGATGCACCAAAGTCTGCAGAATAAAGATAATAAAGTTATGCTACTTCACAATTTAAGGTATCACATGATAATAGGAGTTTAAAGAATTTTGTCATAAATAAATCATAATTATGTAAGGTACATGTTACATGATGTGCTAGCATTATTATTGTGTACCTGCACAACTGACTCCAGCATCTTCAGAGTGAACACAATTATGATTAGTAGTATGAGAGCAGTTTGTAAGGTATGATTCAGATCCAGTACAACGGACATCATCCATTAATATCCTTCCTGTTCCTGCTCCAAAATATGCATTACTATATGGGGTCCCTGTATAAATTATAATGCAAAAAAATTTATTGAATATTCATTTCAGCATGCATGCATAATTTCATGTGGACTTGAGTCAAATAGTATTATTATACACAAAGGCATACATTTAACTTGCTGCAAATTGAAATTAAACTTAAGTTATAATTATAGTTATAGGTGGTAGCCTATATGTAGAATTGAGGTTTAGCTTTCAACCTATAACTCAATCATAAAGTATATACATTGCACATATACCTGTAACACCATATCCCAACTGTCTACACACAACTGTAGCATCATTAGTACCCCATGAATCATCACAGACAGTACCCCATGATCCATTTCTGCATACTTCAACACGTCCTTCTAAACTGCTGGATCCTCCAACAAGACGAACTGAGCCATCAATACAAACTGCAAAAAAGATATAAGTATAAAAGCTACCAGTATAATCGTTACCATATGAGCATCTAACTCCAGCATCCTCAGAATGACTACAATCATGAAAAGTTCTATGAGAGCAGCTAGTAAGGTTTGATTCAGATCCAGTGCAACGAACTTCATCCATTAGTATACTTCCTGTTCCTTGTCCAAAATATGCACTACTAAATGCAGTCCCTATAAAATTTATTAATAAACCATCATATAACTACAAGCAACTGATTAATACCTGTTGATCCAAGTCCTAACTGTCTACATACAACAGTAGCATCCCTATAGTCCCATGAATCATCACAGACAGTACCCCATGATCCACTACTGCAAACTTCAACGCGTCCTTCTAAACTGCTGAACCCTCCAACAAGACGAACTTCTCCATCAAAGCAAACTGTAAAATCATTTCAAAAGTTAATAAGGAATGACAATGTATCACATAAATGAACAGCTACATATACATGTAGTCCTTACGGTATGAGCATCTAACTCCAGCATCCTCAGAATGACTACAATCATGAAAAGTTCTATGAGAGCAGCTAGTAAGGTTTGATTCAGATCCAGTGCAACGAACTTCATCCATTAGTATACTTCCTGTTCCTTGTCCAAAATATGCACTACTAAATGCAGTCCCTATAAAATTTATTAATAAACCATCATATAACTACAAGCAACTGATTAATACCTGTTGATCCAAGTCCTAACTGTCTACATACAACAGTAGCATCCCTATAGTCCCATGAATCATCACAGACAGTACCCCATGATCCACTACTGCAAACTTCAACGCGTCCTTCTAAACTGCTGAACCCTCCAACAAGACGAACTTCTCCATCAAAGCAAACTGTAAAATCATTTCAAAAGTTAATAAGGAATGACAATGTATCACATAAATGAACAGCTACATATACATGTAGTCCTTACGGTATGAGCATCTAACTCCAGCATCCTCAGAATGACTACAATCATGAAAAGTTCTATGAGAGCAGCTAGTAAGGTTTGATTCAGATCCAGTGCAACGAACTTCATCCATTACTATGCGTCCTGTTCCTTGTCCAAAATATGCACTACTAAATGCAGTCCCTATAGAATTTATTAATAAACCATCATATAACTACAAGCAACTGATTAATACCTGCTGATCCAAGTCCTAACTGTCTACATACAACAGTAGCATCCCTATAGTCCCATGAATCATCACAGACAGTACCCCATGATCCACTACTGCATACTTCAATGCGTCCTTCTAAACTGCTGAACCCTCCAACAAGACGAACTTCTCCATCAAAGCAAACTGTAAAATCATTTCAAAAGTTAATAAGGAATGACAATGTATCACATAAATGAACAGCTACATATACATGTAGTCCTTACTGTATGAGCATCTAACTCCAGCATCCTCAGAATGACTACAATCATGAAAAGTTCTGTGAGAGCAGCTAGTAAGGTTTGATTCAGATCCAGTGCAACGAACTTCATCCATTAGTATACTTCCTGTTCCTTGTCCAAAATATGCACTACTAAATGCAGTCCCTATAGAATTTATTAATAAACCATCATATAACTACAAGCAACTGATTAATACCTGTTGATCCAAGTCCTAACTGTCTACATACAACAGTAGCATCAGTATTGTCCCATGAATCATCACAGACAGTACCCCATGATCCATTTCTGCATACTTCAATGCGTCCTTCTAAACTGCTGGACCCTCCAACAAGACGAACTTCTCCATCAAAGCAAACTGTAAAATCATTTCAAAAGTTAATAAGGAATGACAATGTATCACATAAATGAACAGCTACATATACATGTAGTCCTTACTGTATGAGCATCTAACTCCAGCATCCTCAGAATGACTACAATTATGAAAAGTTGTATGAGAGCAGCTAGTAAGGTTCAATTCAGATCCAGTGCAACGAACATCATCCATTAGTATAGTTCCTGTTCCTTGTCCAAAATATGCTCCAAAATATGCAATCCCTATAGTGATATTTAATATATACTATTATTATTTACAAATTGAGCTGCATAAAATATGGAGCAACTCTAAAAATTCATACTAAACCCAAGTTTGATACAAACTTTCTACATAACATAAGAACAAGTATATGTATCAAAAAATTATAAAAATGGCAAACTCTCTCCTTTTCAAAATTTAGCAAAACTTGGCTAAATACTTTAGAAATTAATAAAAAATTGATTTCTGATTGAAATCAGATCAAACTTTCTACACAACATAAGAAAATGTACTGTACGTGTCTTAATTTTTGAGGTGCATTAAATTTCATTATTTTTGTGCTCACCTTAAATCCACAAAATTTAAACCACCTCTAATGCCATTCTATTGTATGTAGACTATGGCCAGAACATAAAAATTAGCTCACATGAATATTAACTTTTGAGCACATTTCATTGAAAACACGAAATTTTAAACACTTGAAAATTTGAACGTATACAGCATATGCATCAGAAAACATGATAGGAATTATATCCTTATCATGATTGACAAAATACCAGTGGCAGTAAGGTATATTTGGCATTTTTGAGCAACTTTTATGTACCATATAGCGAAAAATTTTCGTGGCCCAAAATTTTTTGTGCTTTTTCAAAATCCACAAAAATAAAATCCACAAAAATTGATTCAATACGGTTCAAAATGGCCAAAAAGTAGAAAACCACGAAAATTAAAGCCACGAAATTGATTTTTGAATGGATCCATGAAATTTTTGGGCCATGAAAATTTTTGACTATACGGTAGTTTAAAATTCCTCAAAAAACTGAGCTTAGCACTATGGGAGAACCCTTATTATAAAAAAAGACTGAAACATTATCTTACCTATTGCATGTCGTAATCCTAACTGTCTACATACAACAGTAGCATCAATATTGTCCCATGAATCATCACAGACAGTACCCCATGATCCACTACTGCATACTTCAACACGTCCTTCAGAACTGTTGGATCCTCCAACAAGACGAACTGATCCACCAAAGCAAACTGTAAAAAATAAAAAAATCATCAGAATTTAAGTACATGTACATGTACATCATAACTGAATCAACAGCTACTACTATAGTATAATCCTTACTATGTGAGCATCTAACTCCAGCATCCTCAGAGTGAACACAATTATGAGAAGTTATATGAGAGCAGTTGGTAAGAAATAATTCATATCCAGTACAACCAACATTATCCATTAATACGCTTCCTGTTCCTTGTCCAAAATATGCACTACTAAATGAAGTCCCTAAAAAGTGATATAATAGAAACTTAATATTATTTGTAATATGTGAGGCTGTAATATTAATACCTGATCCATATCCTAACTGTCTACATACAACAGTAGCATCCCTATAGTCCCATAAATCATCGCAGACAGTACCCCATGATCCACTACGGTATACTTCAACACGTCCTTCAGAACTGTTGGATCCTCCAACAAGACGAACTGAACCATCAAATGGTGCTGAAATAAATAATTAAATAAATGACATAATGAACAGCATTATCATGATTTATGCATACCAGGACAAACCACTCCAACATCTTCACTATGACCACAATTATGTGACAGAGGAGATCTATGACTGCATTGCTGGTATAAAGATGTTTCATCACCATCACAACTAACATCATCTAATACTATACTACCAGTCCCTTGTCCAAAGTAGGCTGAACCACGATAATAAGCACCTGAAATTAAAAAATGAAAATAATACTTGTTTATAGATTACATCTATAGAGTGTGATGCTTTGAAGGATTGATTTGATTATCATTTGTTTGATAGATGTACATGTTAGTAAACCCTTCACTCTCATTCAATTCTTTACACAACAAGCTATTATCAGTATCTGACACATCGTAAGTACTTCAAGTATGTGATTCAACTACAGAAATGTCCTCCCAGCTAATGTTTATTTATAGGACAAACTTTACTTACTGAATTTAATAGCTATGTAAAAATTACATGCATAATAAAGGTTTTGACCTTTTTAACAAGTCGAGCTAGTATGGTTTTACACTGAAATTTATATTATAAGATTCATAGCTACAAGCTTACCGGTAGTAGGGTATCCAAGCTGTCTGCATACAACTTGAGCATTAGCATTAGACCAACCATCATCACAGACTGTTCCCCAGCTATTACCATAGCATATCTCAAGGCGACCTTCATGATATGAAGCACCATTGACAAGACGAAGTGAACCCTGACTACATTGACCTAACAATTAAAGTAAGATCACTTATAAAGAGTTGATATATTAGCAGTAATATCAATGGGGTATAACAATTGGGATGGGAAAGTTATCCTTCCAGTATCAATCAAAGTACAACTAAAAGTTGTAGAGTGAGTACATGTACATTTGTATATGCATGTATAATAAGGCATATAGTAAAGAGTATGTGCTTGTTTTGATAAAAGTGCAATAGTGCACATGTACATGTACATGATATAATAATGAGCCTGCCAAATTTTAAGAGAGGATGGGGAATTCCATAGTGAATAGTCACATATGTACTCTTGCAAATTAACCTTTGTCATATTCATGAATATAAATGTCAAAAGCATGTTTGGTATGCAGGCCCGTAGCCAGGGGGGGTTCGGACGAACCCCCTGTTGTAGCTGCAAAAAAGTTTTAGATTAGCTCCTGTCATGAAGAACAGCACTGCAAAAGAAGGATTAGCATTTTGGTAACAGCGAGAAGCACAGATAGCCATTTTAGCTGAGTCAGCACATGGCTGAGATGCGTAAATTAAGACCACGCCTACCAACCACGCCCAATTTCGCCAAAATTTTCGCTGCATGCTTCGCGCGCAGCAATTTCCGAACCCCGTTTTAAGTTCCTGGCTACGGCCCTGGGTATGGGAAATGACACAGCATCAACTTTGAACCAAAACCACATGCACTGACATGACATGATAACACAAAAGATGACACACATACACACACACACAACACATCAAACACAATTCTTTCCTTCATGGTTCAAGCTAATACAGGACGCATAGCTACTGATAGGTGTACATGCCATATAGCTGGAAACTTTTAATGCCAATAAATTTCGCTGTTTTGGGGGTTTTATCAGATCTACGAAATTAAAATCCGAAAAAATCTAGATAATACGGTACAAGGTAGCGGAATGCTTAATTTTGATTCGCAAAAATTAAATCCACAATAATGATTTTTGGGGCGGAATCGCGAAAGTTTAATCCCTCAAAAGTTTCCGGCTATAGGTACATGATTGACCATAAAAACCTATTTATAAAAAACATGAATAAAGTGCCTATATTGAACAAGGATAGCACAGCACAATCACAAGCTTTAACCAAGGACACGTACATGTATGCACCAACTGATATTAGTCTCGTGCCCAT